CTGCTGTCCGTACTGAACACGATGACATCGTCAATGTAGCATGCCGCGTTCTGGACCTCCCTCAGCACTTGGTCCATGACTCGTTGGAACTCGGGTGAGGCCGATTTCAAGCCGAACGGTAGGAAGTTCCATTCGTATTGCCCGTCAGGCCCATGAAAGGCCGTCTTCTTCTTGTCTGCTTCAGCTTTGGGGATCTGGTTGAACCCCTGTCGTAAGTCAAGCGTGGAAAACACTAGCGCCTCTGCCAGCAGGTCAAAGATCTCGTCAGGCATCGGGGTTTGGTACCTTTTCATGATCGTGACTTTGTTAAGCCCCCGGTAATCCCCACACATGCGCTTGGAGAGCACCTTTCCCGTCAAGTCCGTCCTCGCCGCTACCACTGTCGCCGCCGCATACTCGGAGTTGGACTTGCGAATGAATCCTGCTTCCAGTAGCTCCTGACACTTCTCCTTGCAGATCTGTGTTTCCTCCAGTGTCATCCGCCGCCGCCGTTGATATACGGGAATGTCTGTCGTCAGTTCCAAGGTGACTTCCGCCATGCTGCACCTCCCCACCTCCTTGAGCGAGTAGGCGAAGGCCGCTCGGTGTTTGGCCAATACTTCCTTCAGCTTGCCGGCGTCTGCCTCAGAGACCCCTTCCCCGATCACCCACTCTGGTGCCACTCCCTCTTGCCTGGGTGCCCCGAGCTCCTTCTCTGGCTGCTCCCTTTCTGCTGCCCCCTTCTCCCCTCGCTGATCCGCTTCGGTGCCCCCGGCCACGTGCTCTTCTGCTGCCTTCTCTCTCCCGGGCCCCTCCTCTTTCGTTGCCGCCATGAGGGCGAAATCACTAGGCCCAAACTCTCTTTCGTACCTTTCCCTGCTTCGCTGCCTTTCGATCGCCCCCTCCAACCAGCTAAAGTCTTCCCGCTTCTTATCCACTGCTTCTTCCTCCCGCTCTCCTGGGAGCCAGATGTCCTCCTGTTCTGCATACACCACCGGCCTCTCCTCCTCCTCCTCCCAAGGGTAAACCCATCTCCTTTCCAGTGGATGCCCCCGCTCGTGCTGCCGGTCATCTTGCTCTTGCATTTCCCCCAACATTGCTCTTGCCATTGTTTCCTTCGCCCGCGACCTTTCCGTTGGCGGTTGTACTGCTGCCGCCTTGTCCCGCTTCCTCTCCCATCGCAGCTGCGAGTGGTACATCCTGATGGTAGCTACCAGCCAATGCATCACGTTGAGATCCATGGCTCTCCCTAGCGCCTTCCTTCTCTCCTCCTCCGTCACTTCCGGATGCGCCGTGGCGTCTGCCATGAAGCCCATGGCCAGCTCCCTTTCTACTGCCGTCGGCGGCTGCCATTCCCGCGCCGTGCAGTCATATACCATTCCTGGACCTGGCACCCCATCTTGGATCCGGAAGGCTGCCGCTTCGTTGTGGGAGACGAACGTTGGCCACGCCTGTCTTGGCTTTCCCACTTCATTGCAGGGGAATTGCGTCGGGTGATCTGGTCGCTCCACAGGTGCCGGCATTCTTCCTGGCTCTAGGATGTCGTCCACTAGCAGGGGCACTGGCCGTTCCATCAGCGACAGCCGGTACTGCAGCGCCGCCTCGCTCACCCCGTTCGTCCAGTAGCGGCGGACCCGGTGTGTCCTGCTCCCCGCTTGCGCCCCATCTGCCACTACGCCAGGTCCCAGAGCCGCCGTTACTTCCTCATGGGCCACCTGCACCTGCTCCCTGATGTCCCCTTCCATGTCCACATTCTCGACGATGTAGAGTACGTCACCCTGAATCCTCTTTATCAGCTCCAGTACTCGCTTCAGCTCCCGAAACAAGCTGCTTCTCTCATCTCTCATGCCTCTTCCGGCTCCCGCCCGCGAGTAGCCCTGGCATTCCCAGCCTGCGACAACCACATCTATCCTCCCCCATCGCCTCAGTTGTTGCTCATCCACTCTCTGTATGCTGGCTGCCCCACACAGGAGGCTTTGATCCAGCGTGGCGGTGCAGAACTGATGCGGGTATCGCTCATGAAGTTTCTGCGCGTGACACACTGCCATCTTCGCCGCCTCCATGGCGCTCTCCACCAGGATCCATTTCTCCACGCTTATCCCCGCCTTCAGTACTGCCGCCAACCCTGTACCTATACCCCCAAAGAGGTCCAGCACCACCGTCGGTCCCATCAGCCTTTTCGTGTTGTTGCAGAGCGCCTTCAAATCAGCCTCCCCTTCATTCCGTGCTTGCTGTCCTGCCGGCGCCCGTGTGATCTGCTGCCAGCTGGGGTTGCCTAGCTCCTCGCGTACCTCGGCCTCCGAGCTCTGATAGGCTTCCCTGGGCTCCCTCCGCACGAACCGCACCGGCAGCGTGCCGATGGGCCCGTCATCTTCCCAGTAACAGACACGATACAACACCTTCTCCTCCCACATACAGATGGTAGCTCCGATACCGAACAGGTATTCCACCCCTATCAGTAGGTCGAAGTCTTCCGATTCTGACACCCCGCAGTACACCCGCAGCGCGCACTCCTCCGTGGTACCTGGGTTCAGCATCAGGGCCATAGATTGCCTGGTTTTCGGCATCCACTTCGCCTCCCCCCCGTCCGCCGTCATGAGTAGGTATCCCTCCGCAATCAGCCTCCCCGGCTTGTTCAACTGCAATTTATCCGCCAGCCGCCGGCCTATGAGCACGTGGGCTGCTCCTGTGTCGACAATTTCCCGCTGCGCGGTAAAGCCGCCGATCGTGATCGCCCCCGCCGCTATCGTCAGCACTGTAGCCTGGCATGTCATTCTGTCCCGCGGATGCCGATAGGCGGCTCCCGGCATGTCGGTGTTTTCGCTCGCCCGTCGCTTTGGCCCGTCCTCTCGTCGCACATCCTCAGGGAATATCTGCCTCTGCGCCGTCCGTCGTACCCCCAGCTCTTCTCGCTCACGCGCCGGCTGCGCCATCAACATGAATTCTGGCTCATCCGATTCCTCTTCTTCGTGTGCTACCATAGCGGGCTGCTTCTGCTCAGCCGTCTCGAGTTCCGCCAGTTGCGCCCGCAGCCGAGCCATGGTGGCTTAACGATCCTCTCCACCTCCCGTGTCTCGCCGGTCGCGCCGCCCCGTGTAGCAGTCTGCCTCTCGATGACCCCTTCGGCCGCAGCGCGCGCAGTTGGGCGCCCCCGGGCAGTCTCGTCTCATATGCTCCCGGCTCCCGCATAGTGAGCATGCCGCTGGATTCCGACTGTCCCGCCGCAGGTGCCCCGTCTGGCCACAGTTGTGACAGCGTCGCGGCTCCTCTCTCCCCTTCTCCTCAGGTTCTGGGTACGCCGATGTCGTCGCCCATGCCGGTCGCCTGCGCTCTGGCCCTCTTTCCACCGTTCGCTCCACTTCGTACAGCCGTCGCCCGGTTTCCACCCGGTTCACAATCTCGTATGCCTCCCTCAGCGTCGCCTCCGGTCCCATCTCGAACACCCGCACCTGCACGTCCTGTTGCAGAGGTTGACTCAGCCCATTTACGAACTTCCCGATTAGTCTTCCTTGATCCGTACAGTTCATGTCTTCTCCCAGCTCCACCAGCCGCCCGTAATAGGCTAGCAGGGACTCTCCTTCCCTTCGTCGGAAACCTCGGAACTCCACGACTCTTTCTGCCATCTGCAGGGGAAACTGCTCCCGAAGCATTGCTAGGAACCTTGCGGTGGGGTCTCGCTCTCCTGGTGCCCTGCCGGCGGACCATTCCAGCAACTCCTTTCGGGAAATTCGATAATAGGTCTCCGCTTCTCCCGCTAAGGTATTCGCCAACCCTCGAAAGAATTCCTCCGGATCCAGCCTGTCCTTTGCCCAGCGCGCCTGCAGATTTTCCAGCTGCATGATGTAATTCTTTAAGCTCGGGCCACGTTTATTATCCCCCGAGAATCGCTCGGGCACCTCTATCTTTGGCAGTTGCGTGTATCTCCAGCGCTGTACCGCCGCCTCGTCCTCCGTCCTCTGCCAGGAGGCGCTCCGCTGATAGGCGGTCGGCCCCCGTTCCTGCGGCCGCGGCGGCGCGAGCTCCTGCTTCTGCGCCCCTGATCCTCCGGATGCGTTATTCCCGCCATCCCCTGGAGCTCCCTTCGCGCCGCCTTGCGGTCCGCTTGCTCCCTCGCTGAGCCCGCCTTGTGGTCCGCTCGCTCCCTCGCTGGGCCCGCCTTGCCCTTCTGTCCGGCCCGTCTCTAGCGGCCCTTTCGCAGCCAAATTGTTCTCCGTTTCGCCCGACATTCCTAAACTTCGTGCACTGTTGACCGTCGGTACTAGTACGAGTCTACCCGAACGTAACTGCATAAACTCGACTGCGTGTTTGTAAGCTCCTCCCGTTCCTAACTCATCTTGACTGCCTGTGATGGCTCCGTTGCACACTGCGTTGTTGAGTAATTGCAGTATTTCACGAAAACAAACACGCAGTGGCAGTCCCATGGCCCAGGACCCTGCCTTATGCTTCCCTACTCAAACCCTAGCAAGGCTAGCCTAACAAAGAAACACTGTAGGGCTGCCTAGCTTGCCATCCACACTGCCTTCCCGCCTGTCTCCAGCTGGCGTTGCTGCCTCCCAGCTATGTCCTGGACTCGGTGTCTGCAAAACAAAACCAAAGCACACACATGCACACCACACATCACACATTCGCACCACCACCTCCACGTCAATCTGCTGTAAACCCCTGCCAGCCCACCCCCTCCGCACTGTCACCGCCCATTCCGAATCCAATCCCTCGGTTCCCACCCTCCTGGCCAAACCACGCCTCCCGCCTCGCTTCTGCCGTTACAGCTCCCGCCACTGGCTGCTTCGCTTATATACAAATGTACAGTAACCCCACCTTCGCCCTCCTCTACACCTACTGTCAGGACTTCTTAGGTGTTAGCCTCAGAATTCTGACATATGGAATGCAGCAACGTAGAGTCTCCAAGCCATGCGACTTGTTCTAGTCGGCCAAGAGTCGGACAGCTGGCGAGCCATACTCACGCACTTCATCCTGCCTTTCCATCCCCCCAAAACTGTTTCCTTTACTTCTCCCCCCAGTGCAAGCGCTTCTGGCCATGGACAGAGCATGGGGGTTGTGGAACCACAACATATCAAACGTGTTCTGTGATGAGTGGGGGGACATCGTGACATGTAACCGACAGGGCATGGTAACCTCCCTGTGAGTACTGTCATGCGATGATGCTGAGCGCTTTGAGAAGGATTACAGAGACAGAATGAAGTGAGGATGGGGAGAGAGGGGAAATGAAGGACAGTGCATGGGGTATGGAAAGGCTGTTTGATATGACGGATGAAAGAATAGAGTGGAAGAAGGGAACACTGCAAGGGCGGAGTGGTCTTGCCACGGGAACGTGCATGGACTCTAGTGCTCTGAGCTTGTTGGTGGTGGAGTGAACGTGCATGGACTCTAGTGCTCTGAGCTTGTTGGTGGTGGAGTGAACGTGCATGGACTCTAGTGCTTTTGCTTGTAAAACGGTATGCAGCAGACATTGCTGAGATTGCTGCTGCAATGTCCCTGCACCCTCACAACCACTCATGTTCTTATATTCGGATCATGCGTGATTTCCTGCTGGTGTGGTGTAGGTATGTGTATTCAGAAAATGCAAACGCCGTTCTTGAGTCTCGAGTTGTGCCAGCAGCCATCACAGCCCTCTCTGCGCTTCAGAAACTGTCAGTGCATACCACTGTTTGAAGGGGAGGCACCAGGCATGGTGCTGGTTTCCAGCTGCAGCCGCTGGTGCTGGCTCTTCGCCAAGAATGAGCACTCAGGCTTCCAACACGTGTTGCTTTGTGGATGGGGGACAATTCAAACCATCACTATGAAGAGCGTTTTGTGTTTTAAAACGACGTACATCCTTCATCTTTGGTAGGATTCAACTTCATGATGTCAATCTCCTCTATCTCCATACTTCTGTGCATTTCTCACACACGATTTCTCCTGTTGGGACCCACTTCTGTTCGCCGATTCGTATACATCCCATCCCAGTGACCTCTCAGGCGTGGCTGTCAGTGGAAGTCTCCCTTGCAGCATCAGCCGCCTCACTGCACTCCAAACCCTGTACCTCCCTGCTCTCCTGCCTACCCCCTCCCTCTCTCCTTAACACCCTTATCCCCTTCGTAAAAGTCCCCTCTGTCCTTCCAAAACCCCTCTCCTCTCCTCCCTACGCAACCACCCACCCCCCCCCCCCCGCCCTCCCCTCCCCCCTCCCTTTCCCCTCCCTCATACCCTTCTCTTTTTCCATCTCCTTGCTGCCATGCGTATCACTTACATCCTACGTTGACGTGTCCCATTCGTGCATTATCCACTTCCGTGCCGCTGCTCAACTGTCTTCAGTATCGCACAAGCCAATTGCATTGCATGTACAACCCCTTCCTCAACTCCCGTCCCCTCCCGCTACACTACCCCCTAACATGCAGGAACGTTGGTATGCCTCAGTTTCATGTTGACATTTATATTCCATACCTCCTGGGCGATGACCCAACAGAGTGAGATTTATGGGGATGGATCGGCGCTCCTGTTGCCTGCTGGTGCTAGCCATGCTGCATGCCATGCTTCATGCCATGGTGCATGATGTGCGCTAGTCGCCATGGCTTCTGAAACACAGCGGAGAGTATAGTTTGTGGGCATGCAGTCAGTGGCACGTGTGCGTGCAGCACGAAAAGCTGATGCTTGAAATGCTCTAGGAATCACTTGCAAATGCGAAGCACCTTGTTATGAAGGGCACAGTGCAGCAGAGCAGCTCATGACGACGCCAGCCGTGGTCCAAGCTGCTTTCACGCGCCTCAATGCCTTGAACCTGCCCCATTCACACGCATAGGTTTTTTAATCCGCCATTCTCGGCGAAAGACACTGCTGCTGCGCCCTACCATGCCGCGTGCAAACACCATTCATGGAAAGCTAGTCACACTCCTCTATCTCCCTCCCCCTGCTGATTGTCTCTCTCACAGCATTCTCTCGATTCAGTCATCCATGATCCCCCCTGTGATGTAAGGCTCCATGGACGACCTCTCGTGTCTCGCCCCACTCACTCGCCTCCAGAATCTGTACGCTTCACTTCATCTCTACGTGCCTTTGGCCCCCTTCACTCATCCCTGCCTTAGTTTTCCTTTTCTTCTTCTTATACCCTTTCATATCCTAGTCGACTATATCTGAGTGTTAGTTTTTATATTTGAGTGTTACACCAACAACTCAACCTTGCCCAAATGTGATCAACTGAATTCTCGATCGAACCCACCAATTGAAAAGTTAAACTGATCATCCAATTCCCCCTTACTCATCCCTACCCACATTCGCCTCCTTTCACTAATCCCTACCCACCTCCCCTCTCACTCATCCCTACCCACCTCCCCTCTCGCTCATCCCTGCCCGCCTACCGTGTTCCCTCTCATTGCTCAATGGAATAAAGTTGCAAACCGCAGCACCCATCCAAGTCTCTCTCCACGTTCCACACGGCAAATGCATGTCCTTTCATGCTCAACGCCTCACTCACTCACATTCTCGCTCACATTCTCGCTCCCACCTCTACTGAGTCCACGTTTTCTGTTTTTCATCTTATCTCTTGTACTCATGCCTTAATGTCTCTCATATTTACTTCTCCGCAGCGCTCTCATGAGTCTCAACCTGACAACTGGGAAGCTTCCTTCCTCTCTCTCTGCCCTTACTTCACTCAGAACCCTGTAAGTCCTTCTCATAAGCGTATCGTTATGTTTTTTAGACGTCTCAAAACTCTGTCAACCCCTTCTGATAATGTACCACTATGACAGAAGCAAAATCAGAAGTATCTGATCTATCCCACGTACTAAACTCCAAAAGGGAGCAAGAAAACATGTCTATACTTAAAGGACCCCTACCTCCTATTAGTGAACCATCATGACTTCAGGGGTCAAGAGGAGCTTAGGGGTGTGCTCACGTTGTCTCCCCTCTCCCCTCTGTGGCAGTGACCTACGTTTCCTATCCATGACCCACTTACCGCAATGGATCAGTTCACTCTCCAGGCTCTCTCAATTGTGAGTGGCACCACGAGCTCCATGCCGCACCCACCATGACTATCATTAGTGTTTCACTTGGAAGAATGCACCACCTGCGACTCCTACCAATCTCTCCATTTGCGCACTCGCTTTCTGCTCTCCTAGCTTGCTGCCAGAACTTTACCGATGCTTGCTTGAAGCCTCCACTTCAATGCTTCCCTCATTCAAGGTCGGTCGCTAACTGATTCGCGCAGTCTTTACTAAATTTCTTCCCTGAGCTCTCCACATGTGCTGCCATGTGCTGTGCTGCCCTGCCCTGGGTCACGCAATCATGGCAAATCAGGGCCCCAATGGAACGATGACTAGAGGGATTGCAAGGTGGCAAGATGGGTTCAGGACAACTAGTGGGATAGATTCAAAATGCATGTTGATGCCTCTTTCGATGCTCCCCTCTCGTGCCTCTCCCACCCTCCTGCCCTTTGCCACCCTTCAGGGACGTCACTGGAAACTTTGATGTCCACCGCTCTGCACCGTTCCCCACCGAATGGATGGCACTCAGTGGCCTGCGGACTCTGTGAGCCATGCACCCTGTCAAGAGCACACCATTTTGATTTGACACCTTGAGCTGCTCAGCCGACTGTATGGTTTGAGAGCCCTCGAACCGATCCATACTTTACATTGACCTGGTTGGCCATTCTATCAACTGCTTTCCTTGCCCACCAGCCACCAATGCGTGCGCCTCTTTTCCTTCTCTTCCACCTCCAGGCGGGCCGGCCTGAATGGATTCACTGGCACTATCCCCTCCACCATCTCCGCCCTCACCAATCTCACTGAGCTGTACGCTTCCCTTTCCCACATTCTCGTCTAACCTTCGCCTCCTTCCTAATTCCACAAGAACCTCAATCGAGATGCAGTGGTTGTAGAGAAAGAATGAGAGAACCACCTGATATGCAAACCCGAGAGGTTGTGATATGCAAAAGCACCATGATAATGGGGTTTATAGGAGAATGGACTGGTGACAAAGCTTTTGTGCAAGCACTTCATCATGTGAATTCGGTTCATCCAGTGGTGGTGGTTCAATGCAAGGTATTGCCACCCCCTCCCCACCCACACTCGCAATGGCCCCACCAGGGAGCTTTATTTCAACAACCTCTCAGGGAGCATCCCCGCTGGCATCAACAACAACCTAACTTCCCTGATATATCTGTACGGCCCTCACATCTTCCCACTGGCTATCACCACGCCCGTCCGACCCAAACCAGCATGCCAAAGAGCGTCATCGAGTTGACTCAAGGCGAACCGTGGCTTTGATATTTGATCATTGAAACACCATGGTCATACTCATTGACTCACCGCAATGGTCATAAGCGTATGACCAGCCCTGGTTTCCTTTCAACTCATTTTCATACCCTCCCTCATTTTCTATATTTTACCTCCGATATTCCACATGTGCCTTGGTTGCTCGTGCTGAATTGCATCAGCATCATTCAACTAGCATACAAGACCTCCAGATTGAACCACCCCAGGAAAGGGTGCGACGGCAATAGGGAATCACAACATCACTAGCAGCCAAGCCAACGCCACGAAGCATACGGTTCAATTCCTCCTACGTTGGCAGATACGCTTTGGGAAGGCTGGCGTACCACGTATATACGCTAGCGTATATACGTGGTTCGCTAATACGCTCTGAATTTGCGAAATACGCCCGGGCAGCCCGCGGAAAAAAAAAAATCCGAAATTGAAAAAATGCGCGACGACTTTGCGGCTTCGCAAATTGTTACCGCGAACTCGCTCAAGCACCCTACCCACGTCTGAACTTCGAATGTCAAAATCCAAACTTTCCCACCCACTCAACCACACACCACCCCACCCAACCTCTCAAACTCAACCACTTCTTTCAAATGTTCATCAGTTCGTGAGCATTTTTAGGTCGACGACTTCCATAATGCTCTTCAATTTACTTCCCGCAGGTCTCGTCTAGCATTCTTCCCCGTTAGTTAGACGTTCCGTAGTCGCGCGCCAAGGCGCAGCTCCTACTAGTTCGACGAGCAATGCAGCCTCTGTTCACGGCTCTACTGCCCGGGAAAAAAGTTTCACCTGCCCGCCCAGCGTATTTTAGCGTATCAGCAGTACGCCAGCCATTGCGTACTGCGTATATACCCAGCGTATAATACGCTAGCGTATTATACGTGATACGCGTATTTGCCAACGTAGAATTCCTCTCCATCAAACGGAAAAACACATCAGTGTACATAATAGATGCATAATTCATGTGCCCGCCTTGGCCTCACACGATGTGTGCCTGCCTCCACACAACACAGGGGGCTCTCCTTCAACAATCTCACCGGTGTCGTTCCTGCCACTAGCGCATTCCTTCAAACCCTGTGAGTCTTCATGGCCCGCCTCTCCGCACATGTGGACTCAAGTGGCTTGAGTTGCAACGCACCTCCATTCTTCACGTTGGATTCAGATGGTGGGGTCTTGCAGGAAGTCTCCCTTAACATGTTTGAACGTCTCCTTGCACCTTTCTGTAAACATTTTGTGGGATCTTCCAGCTACAACATTTGAGTGTCTCTTGTTGCATTCTGAGCAGACCTGCCTCGTGCTCAGGCTGTTCCAAACTGCACATTCTGTACCATCTACCGTTACCGCGTGCCCTCGCTGCATGCAGGGACCTCTCCCACAACCACTTAACCAGAGTGCTTACGAACATCAATGCCTATGTAATGTGAGCTTGGGGTGAATGAGATCAGGTGGAGAGTCAAGGAGAGTGAGAGGTGGGAAGAGAGACTGATACCGAATCTGGCTGAGGGCGAGGCATCGGTGGGAACGGTGGTGAAAGTGTAGGTATCTCGTGGAACCTAGAAGCTAGAATGGCGGGAGTGAATCTAAAACACAAGAGGCGAGCAAGAGAGGAAAATTTATAAGAATGGAATGGTGACGAACCCCGGATGCGCGCGTGGTGAATCTGAACACCGCATACAACCAGTTTGGTGCAGAATCAGTGGTTCAAATTGGAATAAATGCGATGATGGGAAAAATGCGCAAAATGCACATGATATTAAATGATAACTAACTTCTGTATCACCTTGTTTTGAGTGAAATTCATGCCTCAGAACCAGTTCACGTATAAACCTCTTTCCAACCTTGACCAGAGGCTATCACGGCCCTGAGATTCATGAGACTGCGTCAGCAGAATCCTCTGCTTCCAAGGCCGTCGTTAACCCTACCTGCACCAGTTCGGTTGGCGGGCAGCTGCTGCCAAGGTGCAGGACAGATATTCCACTTGGAGCGACTGGATAAGTTTTTTTGTCTTGTCATCCAGACCCGATGTCCCTGGCTGGGTGTGATGTCTTGGTAGTTTAAGTTTTCCTGTACTTGTCGTGTGTTGCTTCATAGAGGGGAGTTGAATCGCCATTAGCTTGTGTTTTGAGACCACTGACACCAAGCCGATGCCTTGATTAGGCCGACTTCACTCAATTCGAGTCATTTCTAGAAGACTAAATTGGTCACTGCTTCGCCAACTCGATTGGAGGAGCCTAGTCTGCATTGATTCAACTAGTCAACAGACTCAATGTTTGTGATGGCGCATAAGAAGTTGTGGTGGTTTGAAAGAAATTGTTATGACTCTAGTGAACTTGTGATGATTCGAGCTTATTGCGGCCTCATATCGCTAAATGGGATGTTACTAGATGTGGATGATACCCACCATTCCTGCAAGACTCATATACTCTATTCTGAATGTTTTTTTTTATCTCCTCTCCCCACGCCTCACCTTCTCTCATCTCCTTTCATCTCCTCAAATCTACTCTCATATCCTTGATAGGAAGATACGTGTTATGGTTATGGCTATGCATTCAGGTTCTCGGTTTGATTTCAATAGTGGCTTGCGAGTCAAATGACCGTAACTCACAGGCTCAAGCCAAGTCGTGATGAGTGGGGTCTGTCTTGGCATGAGCCACATAAGCATGTCATGTCCCCCATGCGTTGCATTGTGGTGACCCTTGCCTTACATGAGCTTATGCCACCATTTGTTTTCTCAGGTACCATTGGGATGCATGGAAATCTGGTTGACAAAGCGTGATGGCACCGTATGTTTAAAATGTATCCATCCTTATTTCTCCCTTCAGCAAGCTGAGCCACAACGACATCAGGAGACTCCCGCCCATTGAAGGCAGCGTTTTGATAATTCGTGAACTGTGAGTTATGGCCAGCACCTGCATGTCAAGAAAAGGTGATGGCTCCAGCAATTCTCTTGGCATCTACTTCAAGATCTCTATGCACCCCTCGCACCTCAACCTTCATGTCTTTGCTGCTTAGCCAAGCACGGAGCTTCCATGCAAGGCCAGTATGCTGGCCTCATGGATGCTTCCACATAGTATTTCCACATGATGGGTCCAGGTGTTCCACGCTACGGTCCCGTAAGAATATGGAGTGGATTGAGACTGTAGTGTGAACGCTATTTCTGATCCGTCGCTTACACAGTTTCTCCACGCTACAATCCTTTTGGAAACCTGAAGGCAGACTCCCGGCGAAAAGAGAGGAAGATTCGTCTGCAAACTTCATACAATGAAAACGAAGCTGGACAATGTGCTCACACTCATCCCGATCAACCCATCTCATTAAAATAGCAGCTGATGCATGATCTTCAGTCACAAGGGATGTCTATGGTTGTTAGGTTATTGACTGAAAGGTAATAGCGGAGGAAGCTATGTGAAAATCAGAATTAGGGAAACACTATGTGTTTGGCTGAACCGGAAGAGGCAAGATGGCAAGGGATGAGCTGCATAGCAAGCTTGAGCTGCATAGCAAGCTTGAGCTGCATAGCAAGCTTAAGCTGCATAGCAAGCTTGAGAAAGTGCTTACCAGGAAGTTGCAGCAGAGGCGTTTCCCATGGCAGCAGTGGTGATTACGATGGACGACAACCTACTCGCATCGAAGGATGGGGCATGCTGGACACACCCAGCACAAGGACTTGGTAAAGAAGAAAAGCATGGCTGTCAGAATGTGAGCTTAGAATCCATACATTCGTGTTGAGCTCGAAGCTCTTTAAGTACATCCAGGATGGGCAATGAAAGGATGGGGAAGGGAATCAGGGGCAACCTCTAGGTATTGGGGGTAATCCCAAGGCAATCTCCAATTGGTGGGTTGGAGATTGCATGGAGAGCACATTTGGGTTTGGTTGGGGTGTATGTGTACACCCAACCAAACACAACGTGCAAACTACACTACGCTAGATTGAGGGCTAACACTAACAATGGCAACTGAGGATAAGGTAGTAAAGGATGGAAAGGGATATGAAGCATAGCACATGCGTGGGATCCAAGAATACAAAGGAACCACATCCATGGAGCAACATGAATGCTTCAGATCATGAAGTCTGGCACTCAAGTAGAAGGAGCAAATCACACCCAAACCTACACACCGGTCAAAAAGCAAACTACAGCATGGACTTTTCTTATGGTTGTCATGACACGAGGGTACTTCATGGTCCATCTACACCCTTGATTAGGTCTTCCTCTATGAAATGTTGAAGGCAACCACCTATATGGAACAGCCGCCAAGGTGTGTGGAACAGAGAAAAGCTCAGGCGATTTTTCAGTATAGTGCTCCTTGAGGTAAACTTAGAGAATTGCAAATACCTTGGCAATATGCGCACCTTCAAGAACTTGCTGGGGGGTAGCGGAGCAGCAATGAATGCCACACTTCCTGAAGGAAGGGAAAGACGGGTCAAGAAGAGGACTGTTTTCATGGTAACCATTGGAGGGTCGAACCTAGTAAAGCACAGGGGAGATTGTTAGGGTGGTTTGCCACTGCTCTAGTGCCTACCAACCTAAGCGCTTGACCTAGGGTTGGTAGCACAATTCTAGGAACAGTGGAAATTCTTAACCTAAAGTGTAGGAATCACCGATGGAACGGCGGGCTGAGTAATTAAGAGACAAGGAGGATGTGTGAAGAAAATGGTAAAAATAACGGTAGATGAATCGGATCTGGTCTCGTAGATGATGGTCTCGTAGATGACGGTCTTGACGGTGGTGACAGTTTGGTTATCAGTGAGTTCAAGCAACCCCTAGATACTAAGAGATTCGACTCCGCGATAAGAGTGGAGCAACTTCACCGACTTGTGGTCTGCCACTACATCACCTTCATCCACTTCTCGAATACGCCAAGCATGTCGCTCGTCTTCGCGATCAGGCGGACCCACAAAAAGTGGATCTCGTGGTCTTTGAGTAGGAGGATATAGTGACTTCCATCCTTGGCGTGTCAGCAGAATAAACGAGAATGAATTTGAACTAGCAGCAAGATGGGTACAAGTAGGAAACCCTAGTTGGGTTGTACCCCATATGGGCTATCCCACTATAGCCTACACAATAAGCAGCATATAAGTTTGACACACCCCCATAGGCAAAGTGGGGGAGAACAAGAGGTCACAAGACCGGTCAAGAAAAGCAAAGCAAGCTTAGGGTAGATCACGAAGTCACCACGCATTCTGAGCACAAGCAAATGGCTACAAGGCCAGTTCACATGCAGAGTTATATAAAAGAGAACAAGCAGTACAGTGATCACAACCTAGCAAGTGTAAGCATGCAGGTATAAGTATATAGATCACAGTACAAGCAAAGTCAAGAAGTGAGCAAGTGAGGCAAAGTAGGCACAAGGCCTAGAACAGTACAGAAGCGCTGATGATCACCAGGCTGAAATGCCTTGGTGAATATATCAGCAGTGTTGGCCCGAGTGGCCACGTAAGCAAGACGAAGCTGACCACGCTGCTGCAACTCTCGAGCAAGGAAGTAACGCAGAGCGATGTGCTTCGTTCTGTGCTCCAGTCTGTGCTCCTGACACAAGGCAATAGCGGCCTTGTTGTCTACGTACAGAACTGGAGGAGAACGAGGCCGCTCTCCCAACTTCTCCAGCCATATACTGTATACTGTTAGCCACGGGCTTTTCCTAATCTATGATGGTCTGGCCTTACCCGGGACTCGGTTGGCCCGGGCTGATCCACTCTCGGCCATTCAAACCCAAGCTGGGGCTAGATGGGCAAATCTGACGTAGATGGAGTATGTAGGTTGTGGCGTAGATAGAGTGAGAGGCGGAGCATGGGTTGGATTCTTTGGATGATCACATCGGTAACTTTTAACCCACGTGCACTGAAGCTCTACTAGCCAAGGATAAAATGTAGTAGAACAATCACTGGTTGTAGTTACCTTCTCTCACATGCGATTTATGTCGGCTTATAAATGACTCCACATCAATGGAAAGACGTTGAGGGGCTGCCAGTAACAGCCACGACTAGGCTCAACATCATTACTTTTCATCCACCACATTGCGTGCCTCTGCCTCTACAGCATTTCATTTGTCACCAGTGTTCGCTTGACATGCTAACCATCTCTCATGCCCTCAACAGAGACCTCAGCTACAATCCTCTCAGTAAAGGCTTGGATGACCTTTTTTGGATGAACCGACCTGATGAATTAGTACTGTGAGTGATATTTGTGAGAAATCACTGTGTAGTATGTGAATCAGCAGCAATTTAACTAGACGAGATAAGGCTGATCCTACATATCACTGTGCCATCTGGCGCGTCTCTCATCTGCATCAACCTGGATGATCTTGTTTTCCAACTCCATGTTTCTACCCTCATGACCTCTAATTGTCAAATCATCCCCTATCCCGCTTCTCCCTACTCTTCGACTTTTATTCATTCCATGGATCCCTAGGAATCTTGGATCATGCAACTTCTCAGGTCCTTTTCCATTCACGCCCATTGAATTCAAACTGCTGTAAGCGTCTTACGGACCTGGGCCATTCAATTTTAAACTGAAATTCATAACAGGGGATGTAATATCTGTATTTCTTTCAATTGTTTTCATCTGTAAACTAAATAAAGAAAGTCCCACGCCATTTTTTTGCTTATGAATGTAACTGGTTAGGTGTATTTTGCTAAATGAACAGCGTCACCTTATTCTTTTATATGTCCTTTCCCCCTTTTTCTCGTTCCTTGATTCACTAATCTCTCCCATCCTCCCTCCTTTCTCTTTTCAGCATCTACGTACATAATTGTTGTCCTTCCTTTGCCACCCTTCCTCCTTCACAGCGACGTATCCAACAACCACTTTACTAGACCCATCCCCGACTGTCTCTTGTATTCTGAAGCCTCTAATTCTGTTTCGTACATGTAATGCATTTTCTATCATGTTATGCAGACGTCTCATTTCCCTAACATTCAAACCATAGCACCCGTCAAAAATGGTCCTTGGGTTGGTCAACCAAACCTGACTTCACTTGACTCAAGTCAGTTTGGGTCGTCCCGAAATCAGCTTTAGTCTCTAAGTTCGCCAGGTTGAAAGGTCTGGGCTACTTAAGTTTTGCAGATTTGTCCTTTTCTGGTAACCAAAGTAACATTAAAACACTCAAATTTAGCACAAAAACAAACACAGCCACAAAAAGTCAAGAGGAACAGACCTACAGGCCCAGCAATTCATAGACCGTTATCCTCATCCTCGAAGCAAAGCTCTGCCAGTGTCAGCAAGGAGTCGCTTGCAAGCACCACTCAACGGTTGAACGGTACTACTGCCAACCCACGACGTCCCTACCCAAACTGAAAACACATCCATTGGGGGCAGCGGTGGTGGAAATCGCAACGTAATGATGAGGCATCTCTCACAGAGAAGTAACATCCTTCCTGGGTTGCCAGTAGGTCAACGGCCACCCGCCTCTCGGCCGCAGCTTGTCAAAGTACACTTGTACCTTGTCATGCATGGCCTCAGCGAGTGGTGCGTGTCAGTCTTAAGGCGGTTGCAAACGATTAGGTCTCAAAGGTTGAGTGCACTGAAGGTTTGTGGAATGCAAATCTAGAGCCGGCAAAAAATCTGACTACACTGACGAATGACAATTGTGGCGCCATAAACGAGGGGATGAGGGCTTTGGGACTACCATCCTGCCCCACCAGTCGCCGCAACTTCCAATCTATTATGGTACGTAAGTCCATTCGGAGTAAAATTGTTCGGGACGGCATTGTAACTCCCCATCAGAAACTCCAAATTTTTGTGCTTGTTCGTGTCAAGAAAAAAATGCCTCCATGACTGGAATTGGGAGTAGTGGCAGGGGGCAGATGCTTCCACCGAGAGTTTGTGAAGCAGGAGGCATGGGTCATCGGCCCATTGTTGACTCGATGGTAGTGGAACCCGGAAACTCTCCCTCCCTGCATCCTCTTCCTCACACTCCAGCCCCCTCTCTCTCATCGCTCCCTGTCACCTGGAACCCACTACCCAGAAGTTACATGGGTAGGGACATTGACGAGAGGCACAAGTGGTAGCCTGGCTTTGCTCGCTTGCCTCTCCTGCATCAGGCGCACTCTTGCACATGGTGGCACGCCTAGTAGGTTTGTGCTGCTAGGCATGCGCGACTCTGCAGGCACGGGCCCTCCCTGTTGTGCTCTCCATTGTTGAAGCTTCATGCCCAGCTCAGCTTGTGTTGTGCCAGCCTGCCTGCGCAGCACTGCCAGTGCTGCCTGACCCAGCGGCTCATTGGTGCAGTGCCTCTTTTGCTTGAGAAGGGGGGAACTCCTATGCTGAAGTGGCTGGAGCTCTATGCCTCTTAACTTGCCCACAGGTGCTAGTCTGCCTGTGCTTCTCAGCCCGCACTGCTCTCCCTACATGGCTCTGCCGGCATGGTGCATGGATGGTGGGTGGCGCGACGTGGTTGCGGGGCACGCTGGCACTATCTTGCTGCCGGGTGCTGATGCGTGGCGTCAGCTGGCGAATGTAGTGCTGGCGAGGAGTCTTTTTGCGGCCACAGGCGAGATGCCTGCACGATAGTAGCTGCTTGGCGCAGATCTCTGTGCAGGCCTAAGGTATTTGTCGCCCAAGGAACCTGGTGTGAGCAGCCACGTTTTACTAAACAAGGCGTGTTTGGGTGCCATGCCCTGCAAGGAGCAGTGCACTCTGTCCGAGCAAAGGAAAAAGTGTACCAATGAGTAATACTACAATGTAGTAGGAGAACTAATCATAGGTTGGGATGGAGAGTGAGCTTTTACTTGTCCATCTCCCCTTCCCCCTTCTTGACCCATTTGACCGGGCCGCGCCTACATGATTTCAGCAACAATGATTTGAGATGGGGCTGGGTCAACCCAACCCGACAGGTCATAAAAGCCCGATATGTTTTTTTTTATCAGTCGCGACCCGAGACCTATTAACTCGAATAGGCTTCATCAGGAGGGTACTCCCTGGATGGCCCAACCCGGCAAAAGAACGACCGGATGGGCCGTTTGTTGAAGTCTACAGTTCATTGCATCCAGCTTTATCCATCCATTATTACGTGCAGCAACCTCTCACACAACAACTTCACGGGACCTCTTCCACCAGAAATGGCTGCCCAGAAGCTCTTGGAAACTCTGTATGTGGTTACATCACCATCCTTTGTTCTGGCAATTGAATTTGCGGCAGTTTCTTTCCAATATGATGTCCTTTCCCCCTCTTACGGATGTGCCATTATCTTGCCAAACCTACACCTGCATGAACAGCAACATATCCCACAACCAATTCTATGGCGTTGTTCCAAGTGCCTTCTGGGACCTGACAGGCCTAGTGTCCCTGTGAGTGCGGCCTCTTGTCCTGCCAAATGGTTTTTGAGTGAAGAGGAAGGTAAGGAGTGGTACATAACGGCAAGGTGAGCTCATGGAAAGAGTTGCCATTGTGTTCCTTATTGAGTTGTGCTGCTCATGTGAAAAGCACAATCCAGACCAGGAAGCAGTATTGCGGGAGAACCTTATACAGCATGCAGCTGTGTCTGAGAGAACTTGTAAACAGCCACTTTTAGCAAAGGAGCTTCATAGCTTTCATAGCAAGGAAAGCTAGAGGGAAACTTGAAACGTGGTTGAAAGTCTACAGCAGTGGTACATGCTGTTGCTTGTTTGATTGGTGGCAGTTGTGAACGGATTGACCAGCCACAGTTGCTTGTGTTTGGGGTGCCCACCTCAAGGGTTTGTCCCACCACGGAATAAATTGTTCAAGCAGAACTGCTTAGGAGGCTACATGTTCTTACGACACTGTCATCCTATGAAACCATGTGCCATACTGCGCCCTGACATGATACTACCGCTTCTGACATGAAAGATGGCATTTTATGCAAGCAGAATCAGCTCGTCGCTTTTAATACTGTCACCGTCTCTTCACTTCCTTCCACCATCGCCCATGCAATCTCTGCAGCTCCATGGCTCACAACCAGCTCGAGGGGCCTCTTGCTGCTGCCCTCTTTGCCCCAGGACTTGCTGTTTTGCAAGTGCACCTGGTAGCTAGCTCGTGTATGGAGGGAGGGAGGCAAGTTCGTGTGCTGAAGGCAATGCTTCGTGTATGGAGGGAGGGAGGGTGTTGCATAATATTACAGCGTGGACAACCGTTACAATACGTACATAATCATGACCTTTCCTTGTCATGATTTAACCATACACAATGCTGATCACTCCCCCATCCCACATCCCACGAACCACACAGTGAGGTGCAAGGCAATGCATTCTCTGGATCATTACCTGACTTTGCTTCGTGGAAACTTCCATCCCTAATTCTGCTGTGAGAACGCACTCCACGTGCCCTTCAAAACTCCTCTATCGTATTTTCCACCATCTAAGAAAGGAAGAATTGATCTAGCATCCACAAGCCACAAGTGCTCTAGCAGCCACATGACCACAGACCTATGGCTCGGTGTGCTTAGAAGCCACTGAAGGATGAGCAGAGTGCTCGAAATACACTATGAGATGAGCAGATTGATGTGTTGCAAAATCTCCTCATCCTCTTCGTCTTCTCTTCCCTTCCACTCTCTCTCTCTCTCCCACAACCACACAATTCCCAGCGATGTGAGCGACAATCAGCTCAGTGGCTCCCTCCCTGACTCCATTTCTCGCTTTGTAACGCTGCAGCACCTGTGAGCCGCAAGCAAATCTCTTGAGAAGCAGGAATGCGTGGTGGTAGTGAAGAAGGTATGCCTTTATTGGCACAGATGCTGCCATTAAAGCCCGAGTGGTGCCTTGAAGGGAGTACTGTGGTGTCAAACACAGTGGTGCCATTAAAGCCCGAGTGGTGCCTTTGTGTGATAACTTCACACGAACGCCTTCGTGTGGTGTCAAACAGTGGTGCCTTGAAGACAATCAGCTAGTGGTGCCAAACAGTGGCAGCACTAGCTGGGGTGAGGCTGCTGCAAAGCTGACATGCACTTTCATCATTTCAAAACCCCAATGCACCTTGTTCATTGGATTTTTTCATCATGGTATGGGCATGGCGTGGTACGGCATGCTATGGCATGACACGGCAAGACATGGCTTGGCATGGCCTGGCACGGCACGAGACCGCATGGCACAAATCACCATGGCAACGCATGGTATGGCATGGCACGGCATGTCATGGCATGGCATGGCATGGCATGGCATGGCATGGCATGGCATGGCATGGCATGGCATGGCATGGCATGTCAGGGGTCTTGGAGGCAACAACTTGAGTGGCCCCATACCTGCTACTCTGGGTAGACTACTCAGTCTTACATCCCTGTAAGTGGCACGGCCTATCTCCGTCTATCACTAGCCTAATGTGATCAATCCTGCTTGCACGACTCTCTCATCAAAACACTTGAATACAAAATTAATACGAAGTGTCACAGCATCTGCATGTATTTGAGCAGTTGGCTCTCTGAAAACATTCATGTTTGCCATAAATGTATGAACGAAATTTGGACCGAGGAGACGTGCGTTTCAGGAATATTGATCCTATTCCAAACTTCGTGTGCTTAATATGACACTGAACATAAGACAGCAAGTTGCTAACGTATAGGAGTTCAGGAATAATAACGTACAGCCGAACAAAAACACTCAGTAATCATGAGAAGTAAGCTTTGCAATGAGTTGTGAGCTGATCTGTCGATATACTCATGCATGCTAAGAAAAAAAAAATTGCCAGTGAGGCATTGCTTTTCTGGCTGAAGTTTGAAGTGTTTTTACTGAGTTGAAAGGGACCTCAATTTTTGCAGTTGGTAAGGCTCATCCAAGAAACGATTGGTGGTAAAGGAAACAACCGGATGAGCAAATGTGTATGTTTGTGTATGTGTCCTCCCTTCTCTTCTCCTTCCCCTGGCCCCCTCGCCCCCAGGAACGTCTCGGGCACGGGGCTGACCTGCCCTGCAGACGGCAGC